CTAGGTGACATTTCGAACTTGCAAAGTATCTTCATGCTTTGGAGACATCCTCTTCCATCCTGTGTCACCACTTCTCTCTTCATTCGGCATTGCATACAGGGCAATGATGTAGTGTAAAAGAGGTGGGTCTCCTGTACCTTTAATAGTGATGGAAAACAGGGATTTTCTGCACAATTACTAAAGGTGCACGAGCCCCAGGACTATTCTTTTGGATGTGGCCACTTTAGAGCTGTTGCAGCTGGTTGTTGCCATTTCAGAGGGGAGCCTGTGTGGTGTAGTGGTTTGAGCATTGGATTCTGACTCTAAAGACTCGGGTTTGAATCCCTGCTTGGCCATAAAACCCATTGGGTGACTTTGGGCAAGTCACACACTCTCAGTCTCAAAGATGGCAATGCCAAGCCACCTCTGAAGAAACATGCCAAGAAAACCCCATGATAGGTTTGCCATAAGGTCACCATAAGTTGGAAATAATTTGAAGCCACACAACAACTTCAATCTAACCTCCCCTTAGTGTAGTGTAAATATCCACATACAGAGGTATGCTCTGCCAGCACTATATAACCCCATAGAGAACAGCAACATTGCACAACACATGTCACTGACTGGGTGCCCCTGTGCATGCAAAACTGCAATGCACAAATGCAGTGTGCGGTGCGGAACCGCAATGCACAACATTGCAGTGTAGGCAACTCCCTTTCTGTAGCTGCCAGCAGACTCTTTCTGTTGCACCACAGCAAATAATTCAATAAAGCAGCTTTTACATGCATATGTCACTAAACAGAATACTAGCCCTGCTCTGGATTTTAGTATGAATTTTGAAGGAGGGCTCCAAGGTGGCTGAAGATATTTGGGGTGGGCATTTTTGTTTAATTTTAATTTATTTTAATTTCCTATTTCAATCCATGTGGGACCCAGGCCAGTTCACAAAACGGAGTTAAAACAAAATAATAAGTTCAGCATCAGGGCTAGCTCCTTTACTTCTAAAACTGGGAGTGTATTTACTCATCTCTCTGACACTGAAGCCACCATCTGCTGCTGCTGTAAGGTGGCCTCATGTAAAAGAGGAAAGCTGGGGCAAATACACTTTTAATAGTAGCGTGGAAGGATGAATACATTGCTATTAAATGTACGAGACCCCCACCTTCTTTTGGATCCACCCTCCTCCAGTTTCTATTCCATCTCTCTCATTGATATTTTTATTATTTTATTTTTTTTACTGTGCAAAAATTGCATTTAAAAAAGAGCACCAGCTGACATTTTACTAGGGACGTAAGTCTTTGTAAATGGCCTTACGTGTGTGCAAAACAGAATGGAGTACTTTTGCAATGTCTGTATTCACCTTGGTGCTGCTGTGACTGCTTTCTTGCAATCCTCTGAACTACCGTTCCCAACATACACTGAGAAGACGGACTGAAGATTAAAGCAAGGTAACTTGGGAACTGGCGTTCAAAAGGGGCGAATCTACACAGTGGAAATAATTCAGTTTGACCCCACTTTAAGAGCTGTAGATCCATCCTATGTGATCCTGGGATTTGTAGTTTTAAAAGGCCTTTAGCCTTCTCTACCAAAAGGAGCTGGTGCATCACAAAACTGCAAATCCTACAGTTCTGTAGATGGAGCCATGGCCATTAAAGTGATGTCAAACTGAATTGTTTCTACAGTGTAGATGCACCCGAGGAATTTCTTAGTAGAGAATTCTTAGTCCCTCACCAAAAGGCAGATCCTAGGATTCTATAGGATGAAAATGACAGTTAAAGTGGCATCACTTGTGCAATGTGGATACAATGAGACATGGGGACCGTCTTTCTTTTTTTGGTGATAGCAGTTGGCGTTCTGCATGGGACGCAAATCTTTCTTGATGGCCTTACATGCGCAGAAAATTGAATTGAGTAGTTTTGCGGCATCTATGTTCACCTAGGGGCTACCTTGATGTTACAACATACAGGCATCCATTGCACGATGGTGGAGTGGACAATGCACCATGACCCAAAATACAATGGGAACTAATATGCACTGGGGCACTTCCCTAGGCTCACCAAGACACCACTAAGAAGTGCCAAAGCACAACAAGAGCATCCAAGGTGCATCAGAAGTTGCCAGTGCACATCACAAGTGTCAGATGCATTCTAGGACACTCTTCCTGGTCCTCAGATGCACATCTTTCCAGTTCACTAGCAATTCTGGTGCTCCAGAGACTAGGACACGGAGCAACGGAGTCAAAATACAGGAAAAGAAATTCTGCCTGAACATGAGGAAGAACATCCTGACAGTAAGAGTTGTTCAATAGTGGAAGACGCTGCCTTGGAGAGTGGTGGAAACACCTTCTTTGGAGGATTTTAAGCAGAGGCTGGATGACCATTTGCTTTGATGGGGTCTTCCTGCATGGCAAAATGGGGTTGGACTGGATTGCCCTTGGGATCTCTTCCAACTCTTGGATTCTCTTGGTTTTGTTGTGTTTCTGCAATGTAGCAATGGATTCGTCCATTTACAAAACATAGACTGTGACGTAGGATCTGTGCTAGGAGCTCTTTCTTGATGTGAAAACCCTCTAGGGCAAGTCACGCTCTCTCAGCCTCAGAGGGAGGCAAAGGCAAACCCCTTCTGAACACATCTTGCTAAGAAAACCCTCATTATAGGTTTGCCTTAGGGTTGCCATAAATCAGAAATGGCTTGAAGGTACACAACAACACCACTCTATAGTGGGCCCCATGGGACATTTTAGGGAGCCACACAGACGGCCAAAAATGCCCCCAAGCAAACCCAAACCAGAAGTGGATGGAAGTCGACATCTGGATTTTTTAATTTTTAATTTTTTTTAAAAAAATGAGTAATGATGTAATGTTCATTAATGCAAGGGGTGCTTATTTTTTAAAAAGTGAATTGACATTTCTGTTTGCCAGAAAAAGTGATGGAGGAATTTAGGGGTTCAGTTACTGCACTCCTGACCTGTACCTACATAAATTAGCATATGTACATTTCAAGCCAATCGGCAACCTCCTTTTATTGCCTTCTTTGGGCAACCTGGACCACCCGATCGTGGGTTGAAGGCAGCTGCTGGAGAATTTGGACTGGCTGCACATGGACCATAAAGGTGACCCCTTGGGATTCTTTCCCACCACCAGCAAATGCCCCCAAAGTCCTGTAACATTTTCGGAAAACATCTGAAAATCATTAGGACCAGGATTTGGCTGGTATAATAAGGAGTTTATAGATCTGTTACATTTTTCAGCCACTCAATCTGGGTTTTTCATGGGTTCATTTACGGCCAAAGACGAGAAAAAATGAGGCTGATCCAAAATTAGATTTCCTGACATTTCCTTTAAAAAACAAAAATAATTGCAGAGCACGCATGGAACTGGACTGGCGCCATTGCGTTGATGGGGTAGTTAAATGGTCCCTTCACGTTGGCCTGAACCCGTTGGTTAATCTCAACTAGAGCGGACCCATTAAATCAATTGGATTTACCAAGGTGTTGAGTCAACATTCAACATTCAATCGATGCAATGGGTATCTGCTGCCTGGAACTGAGCAATAGGGGTGTTGTTGTTGTTGTTGTTGTTCTGCGCCTTCAAATCAACTCCAGCTTATGGTGAGTGTATCACAGGGTTTCCTTGGCAAGATTTATTCACAGGAGATTTGCCATTGCTTTCCTGTAAGGCTGAGTGTTACAGCTGAACTTTAAGCAAATGAAAATAACAGCCAGAAATGATTTATGTAACTTTAAGTAGACGATGAAGATGTTGAAAAGATTTTCTGTACCTTGGCCCAGTCATAAATCCGCATGGAGACGATAATCAAGAACTGGAAAGATGACTAGGACTTGGAAGGGCTGCTATGAAAGAACTAGAGAAGATCTTCAATGTGTAAGCATATATCAGAGACCTGGTCCAACAAACAAACCATGACACCATACCAATTCTCAATAGGATTGGGGTCACTGCTTTTCTGATGCAAACCACCTATTTTATCAAATTCAAAGCTATCATTTGCCCAGCTGGGGAAATCATATGATGGCCTGAATCATCTTCTTAGTCTCAAGTACAGCTACTCAATCAGCTAAAAGTCTTAGTAGACCACAAGCTGACCATGGGTCAACAGTGTGAAGCAGCGGCTTAAAAAGTCAATATGATTCCAGGCTGCATCAACAGAGTGTAGGGCCTAGATCGATGGAAGTAATAGCACCACTCTGTTCTGCTTTGGTCAGACGTCAGACCTCACCTGGACTACTGTTTCCACAATTCAAGAAGAAGTTTGACAAGCTGGAGCGTGTCCAGAGGAGGGCGACCAAAATGGTGAAAGATCTGGAAACCACCAAGCCCTATGAAGGACTGACTTAGGGATCTGGGTATGTTTAGCCTGGAAAAGAGAAGGTTAAGGCGTGACATGACTGCCATTTTTAAATATTTGAAGGGATGTCATATTGAGGATGGAGAAACCTTGATTTCAGCTCCTTCAGAGACTAGGACATGGAGCAATGGATTCAAATTAAAGGAAAAGAGATTCTACCTCAACATTAGGAAAAACCTCCTGACAATAAGAGCTGTTTGACAGTGGAAGATGCTGCCTCGTAGTGTGGTGGAGTCTCCTTCTTTGGAGGCTTTTAAGCAGAGGCTGGATGGCCAGCTGTCTGGAGAGCCTTGTTTGTCTATTCCTGTATGGCAGAGGGTTGGACTGGATGGTCCTTGGGGGTCCCTTCCAACTCTATGATTCTGTCATTCTAAT